CCCCCCCCCAGCCGGGGCTGGCACCGGGGGCTGCCCCGACCCAGGGGCAGGAGCTGGTGCTTGGCCTGGTTGAACCTCTTGAGGTTCATATTTGGCACATTTCTGATACTGACATGCCACAGCTAATAAGCAGCTGGTGTCACTGCCTCTTCAGGAGTAATTTGTGCTTGTTTGGTGGAAAATCCTGAAGAAAACTGCTGGGATTCCACATCCCTTCTAATTTATTAATTGGCTGGGGTAGGCAGGCTGGATCCCTCATCCCTCACATCAGACTGCCTTTGAAGCCCAAGTGTCTCCTCGCAGCAGCATGTCACAGAACCCAGGTGGCACAGGGAAAACTGCTGAGGGAGGCCATGTGTGAAAGGGGTTTCTGGTGCCTCTCTGTCCCCTGAGTCACTCACACCCTCCTCCCAGAGGCACAGGGACACCCAGCCTCTCCTCAGGTCACCACTGCTGTGTTTCCATGCGCTGGGTGCGGGGCCCTCGGTGCCGCGTTGTCACCACACCCGCGATGGGCAAGGCCAAGGTGGGCAGGTGGGCGTTGAACAGCTCATGGCCCTGGCTTGATGGACCCTCCACGGCCTGAAATCACACCTCTGCTGGGGGACATTTCCAGCTTTTCCTGCCCGTGGGGCCCAACATGGTCAGGCCGCCGAAGGGCAGCACGTCTGTGTCCATCCCCGCAGCACGTGGCCTTCACCTGCAGAGCCCCCCTCATCCTCTGCAGCCCAGCTGAGGACCCTCGCTCCGTGGGTCAGGCTGGTGAAGCAGTCTCTCTGCCTGTCCCCCCAGCAATGCATGGGGCATCTCCACCCAAAGAAGTGTGGGAGAGCACCAGGCACCTGGGACATCCCACAGCCAAGGATGAGACCCCAGCCCGGGCAGGGCCCAGGGGGAGATGCTTTGAATGGGGTCCCCCAGATACCATCTCAGTGCTGCAGGCACCCAAGCATCTGTTGTCCCCTTCCCTTGCTCTTCTTGGCATGCTGCCAGGTGTTGGCAACACATATCCACTTTGGAGGATTTCCCCCTTGATCTCACAGGATCCCAGAACCCCAGCAAACCCAGGTGGGGTGGGAAGGGACCTCTGGAGATCATCTCCTCCAGCCCCCTGCTCCAGCAGCTCACCCACAGCAGGGTGCCCAGGGTCACAGCCAGGAGGGTTTGGGATCTCTCCAGAGCAGGAGACTCCACAGCCTCTCTGGGCAGCTGCTCCAGGCTCTGCACCCTCCCAGCAGAGAAGTTTCTCCTCCTGTTTCCCCTCATGTCTCTGCCACTGATGGGGAGACCTGAGTGGTGCCAAGTGTCTTGTTGAAATAAAAAGAGCGTTGCTTACCCGTGTGTGCAATGGTGAACCCTGCATCCACAAGACTTTGACTTGAGCAGGTCTTACAGCCTTGGTGGCTCCAAGCTCAAGTGTTCAGCCTTTACTGAATGAAATTATTTGTGAGAAAGATTCACTTTTGTGTAGCTGTACCTTGCCATTAGCTGTTTTTTTCCCATGCTTGCCATCATACTGCATATTTAAACGTGAGTGCTCGTGGTCTGGCCCATAACGACGTTCTCTGTTGAATTCTCATTAGGTAATGCAGCTATTAAGCAAGATAGAGACTTCCAGCTCTGATCAAAGCTCGAATTTAAAGACAGTCCAGGGAGATCAACATCACGAATTGCAGCTTCTGGATTTCAAGTAGGTGATGGAGGGTTTTTCATTATGGTGATTCACACTGAACGCTTCCGTGTGATGAACAGCTTGCCATGAAACAGCAAAACAAACCCATTAATTAACATCCATTCAAAACACCAAGAGAAGGTTAATGAAGATCTATGCCATAAAATAATGAAAATACATAATGAAAGTATATTGTCTTGAAAGCTAATTGTTAGAATGAGGCACTAAATGCCACCCTGTAAGAAGGAAGGTGGGAAGCCAGTTAACTTCCCATATTTAAAAGGAAGGCACCAAATACAAAGATGCTACTTGCCGTTATAACTGGGGCTAATTTTGACCTGCTTGATGTGCAGAACAAGATGTTTTCTTCATGCACTTCCACCATCCTCCCATTTCTGAGGTTGCCACCTGGGGCAGGGCTGATTTCCTTACCTGGTATGATTTTCCCATCTAGCTGCAGAACTATTTGTAGGTTCCCTTTGTAATATTGGTGAGTTTTAGAGAGGCAGGAGCTCCAGGGATGGGTGCAATGAACAAAAGTGTCTGGCATCCCTATCCAGAACAATGTGAAACACCCCAGCACTGAATAGCACAGACAGCACCAATAATTGCAAATCTAATTATAATAACCCTGCATAAACAGTATTTCAAAGGCAATAGTTCCACCCCTTAAAATGGTGAATCATTAGAATAAAGACTTATTTTAATTAAGATTTTATCTGGCTTGTGTTCAGAAGTAAGAACAGGTTAGAACTTTCAACATGAGGAAGTTTTCATCAAGAGAATAAGAAAAGAAATTGGGCTGAATGAGAAAACAACAGCTAAAGTAGTTAATGAATTAAAATTGGGAAAAGGGAAGGAGGAACAGGGAGACAGCAGGGAATGATGGAGATCAAGATGATGCAAAAGGGATGAGAAATGAAACCAAAATAAGAGAATGAAAAACAGATCAATGCCAGAAAACAAAGAAACTATAAAACTGGATCTAAGTAAATGCTGAGTTTAGCAAAAGTTAATGTG